TGATATCAGGTGTATTTTCCGTAAGAAAGAACGCTGTTGTATTAATCAGTCTTTTTTATACAAAGTTTATACGGGAACGACATGTATACCAAACATCTCTTTGATGAATGGAGTAACTATTTTTTTTCTTCTTTTTTGAATAATAATAATAATATTGCCCGTAAAATTGCTTCATTTTTATACAGCCTTAAAACTAGAAATATAGTTTTCATATACAATTTTTTTTTCATTTTTTTATCTCTCATGACAGCTCAAGTTCACTCTACGACTGCAAACGAATAATTCAACTTTGCTTTATGAAATAGATAATGCTTTACTATTCTCTTTCCATTAGGACTTGCGTGCTTGTGCTTTATTATAGAAACGACCTTTGCTTGTTATGCTATTTGAATACTGTTATCTGTATAACATTCTCCTTTTCTTTAAGTAATGGTAGATTTCTCTTCGTCTAGGGAAGAAGTTAGCAGTCACTGGAAGAGATTACAAGTTTTTCTATGTATAATTTGCCTTGGGAAATCAAAATAAAGCAAGGAGGAGGAGGAAAATAAACGAATATGTGGAAGACCTTTTTCGCTTCAAAAGCCATGCTTCATCTTGGCAACTGATGTATTGATATTATGGAATATTTCATACTTTAGCAGATAATATGACTAATTAAGCTGCATTTGAGTTATCTGATAAGTTTTCGGTCTGCATCTAATTTCATCTATCTATTTGTGGATTATTGACGAAGATGAGCGCTGCCTTTAAGTTTGTTAGATTATGTGTAGTGAACGAAATTGGTCTTTTTAAGTGCAATTCATATTTCGGATGTCAAATTAACATTTTTATAGATCATTCCAAGTGAAAAAGGGAAATATATCACTGGAATGATCTGTCAAAACAAAAATAAAAGGACAAATAGATATATCAATCTTCACGATCGCCATATTGCAAATGTACAGTACACAATCTCTCCATTTTCTTCCAACAGAAGCGTCGCTGCTGAGGAATGACGAAGCCTTCAGGTACAGGATTGAGAAGAAGGTGCCCCTGGACTCCTACGCTGACGCCCGGGACGACACGAAGCCTCCGCCGTCGCCGCCCCTCTGGATCCTCACCCTCAGCTCCCTTCCTCGCAGCGGGTCCACGCTCATGGCCCAGTTCCTCGGGACGCTGACCAATTCCATCGTGTTCTTCGAGCCTATGTGGATTAAGGAATACACCCCCTGCGCTGAGGACGAGGACTGCGTGGTGGACTACATCTATAACATTTTCAACTGCACGTATAAACAGGACTTCGAGGACTGGTTTCGAAAGAAGGATCTGTTCTTCTCGTACTTCCACCCGGACGTCAGGAACTGCAAGGGAGCGGGTTGCAAAGACGCGCTCGACGTCCGCGGGATGTGCGAGCGAGCGGACGTCAGGGTCATGAAGATCATCCGCACGAGGCTGGCCTTCCTGGAGCCGCTGATGAGTGACTCGGAGATCAACTTCAAGGTCGTCTTCCTGACCCGTGACCCGCGCGGATCTCTCAACAGTATCCGCAAGTTCGGCTGGAACAGGGACCCGATGACACGTTGCACGCACCTGGACAAGGACCAGGTTGCCTACGAGGAATTATCTGGACTCTACCCGGACAAGGTGATGCAAGTCAAGCTCGAAGACTTCTGCCTCGACCCGATAGGCACGACGGAGGACCTCATGCAGTTCTTGTACGGCCACTCGGACATCCCGGAGCCGCTCAAGGAATACCTTACGAAGCACATGACCACCAAGACGCAGAAGGGCACCATGAGCACCTACAAGAACAGCTCCCAGGAGTTCGAAGCGTGGCGCTACAAGATTCGCGAGGACGACCTGCTCAAGATAGAAACGGAACCGGTCTGCGTGCGCACCATAGAGAGCATGGGCCACGCGCTCTTCGGCTCCATCCAGAAGGCCAACGACTCGTCCGTCCCACTCTTCGTTCATTGAAGGTCGTCTGGGTTGGGAGGTTCCGCTGAGTGTGTGGCGCGTAGAGTGTGATCCTAGTTGTTAATAATGATGAAATAAAAGCGATAACAATGATGACCGCAACAAAATAACAACAGTAATAATACAAGAATCGAAGAAATGTATACTTCCACTACTATTGCTAAAAATTTGCTATTACTTCTGCTGCAAATGTCAATCTGTTATTGATGATGCTGGCTGCCTGACAATGTTACCGGCGCAAAGGGAACGATCACTTCCTGACTCCATTAACTGAGCCTTGCAAAGCCGTTAAACGAGAAGAAACCAAAAGTGGCGGGTGAAAGAAGGATAACACTCAAAAACTACTTTAATAAATAAAGAGCTTTAAAAGTACAAAGAAGCTTTCAAACGAAGAATAGAGCTAGAAAACAAAGAGCAATTCCAGTGTTTACAATGCTCCGTCGCCTCTCAGCTGATTTTTGTCAACAAACCAGGGGCCGGATATACGGGATCGTAGACTTTATCGTAAACGAAGCCTACATTCCTTTATCTCGCAACAAGCAAA